CCATGTAGCCATGGTATTTTCAATCACCTCTTAGGTATGTGAAAGCTGGACAATGAATAAGGAAGACCAAAGAGTTAATGCTTTTGAGTTGTGATGTTGGCAAATAATACTGAAAGTACCATGGGCTGCCAAAAGAACAAACAACTCTGTCCTGGAAGAAGTGTAGTCGGAATGTTCCTTGGAAGCAAGAATGTTCAGACTTCATCTAACTAACTTTGGTCATTGTGGTAGTTAAGATTATGTGTCAACTTGGTTGGGCCTGGTTTGGAGTGGCTGAGCAGCTGGATGTAGTGATTTCTTATGATGAGACAGTAATCAACTCCAAGGTGGAATCTGCTCTGAGCAGCTGAGTAGTTGCCTTTGGGATGTGGTCTGCTTCCCATATATAAGAAGCTTTGAGAAAGGTCTCTGAGATTTTTGTCATGCTTGGACCTTGCATGTAACTGAGTCTTTATTCAGTAGTTTGTCATATTTCTGGTCAATCTTGGGACTGTCTCTGGTCTTGAATTAGTGTCCTGCCATGTTGTTTGGTAACCTTGGGACTGTGCCATTTTACTTGTTAAACTTGAGTTAGTCAGCCTCTGCAGCCAGCAGTTGCCTGAGTTAAGAGAAACCTCTGGCTTCAGTGGTCCAGGAGCAAGAGGCAAAGCTGAAATCCAAAGGCAGGGGCCTTCACCCAGCACATATTGCTAGCACTTTGGACTCAGACTTCTAACCTCCTAAACTACAAGAGGGGAACGCTGGTGGCATAGTGCTTAAAGCATTTGACTGCTAACCAGGAGGTTGGTGGTTCAAATCCACCAGCCACTCCTTGGAAGGAAGATTTGGCAATCTACTTCCGTAGTGATACTGCCTTGGAAACCCAAGGAGGAGTTGCTATGAGTTGGATATGACTCAATGGCAGTGAGTTTGTTTTTTTGTCTTTTAAACTATAAGAATTCAGATCATACAAATACAGATCAGAATTCAGTCAGAATTCAGATCATACAAATGGGTGATAAAGCCACCCATTTGTGGTATTTTCTGTTAAAGCAGCACTAGAAAACCAAAACAGTCATGTCAGAAAGGACCATTCCCTGGAGAAGAACATCATGCTTGGTAAAGTGGGGGGTCAGAAAAAGATGAAGACCCTCCAACAAGATGGATGGATATAGTGGCTGCTAGGATGGGCTCAAGTATATCAAGGATTGTGAGGATGGCACATGACCTGGCAGTGTTTCATTCTGTTGTACATAGGTCACTATGAGTCAGAGCCTTCTCAATGGCACCAAATAACAACACCAGCAATCACTGAGAAGGTCAATGTGACACTCCCCTGTTGGTGAAGGATGACAGCTGAAGATATCCTCACAGAATTGAATTTAGAGATAGCATTGGGAATGATGGAATCTTGAAATAATAATGAATAAGTGGTGAGCTCAATTGTCAGAAATAAGGTGGGTACAATGATTATAATGGAGCTTGAGTTTGGAGTGGCAGCCAGGATTTCCTGAAAGGAAAAAAGAAAAAAGGGTTTCCATCTGTATGCTAGTCTTTAACATTTGGCAATACAAGAAAGAAAATACCTGGTTTGTGGAATATGTTGATTTTTGTGGTGTAATTTCTCCCACCATGGCTTATTTCAAGTTACCAAAGTGACATCACTGAATGAACAATTGGGAAGGATTCACTATTATCAAGTATAGATAATGGTCAAATTTATTTATATCTATTGTACATTGAGTATAGATAATGGTAAGAAACTCTTATGGTTCAATGGTTAAGGCACTTGGTTGCTAACTTAAAGGTGAGTGGTTCAAACCCATCAGCCATTCTGCAGGAGAAAGATGAGGCAGTATGCTTCCATAAAGATTTACAGTTTTGGGAACCCTGTGGGGCAATTGTATTCTGTCCTATAGGGTTGCTATGAGTTGGAATCAACTCGATGCCAGTGGGTTTTGATTTTATAGACAATGGTAAAATAATTAGGAATTGGAAAGTTTTAAGTATTTCTTACTTTTTTAAATGTAACTTATTAATTGAAAATTTAGATTATTTAATTTTTAATAATAACTATGTTAAGAACAGGAGCTCTGACAGCATAGTGCCTAAGGCATTTGACTGATAACCAAAAGGCAGGCGCTTCAAACCCACCAGCCACTCCTCGGAAGGAAGGTTGGGCAATCTACTTCCATAGTGATACTGTCTCAGAAACCCAAAGAGGCGTTGCTATGAGTTGGGTCCGACTCAATGGCAAACAACAACAACAACAATGTTAAGAATTGGCTCATGACACTCCTGAAATTTATTCATTCAGCCTTTGCAAACACACTACTTGGCTTTGTTCAATATCTACAATAGAAATAAATCAAAGGTACGTGATCAGTAGGCTAAGAACAGTCATGTTCCTAAAAGTTATAAGCTAATATTCATTTCCAGTTCTGCCTGAGCAAGTTTTCTGACCCAAAATCCAATTATTGAAAGAGAAGAAAGATCATAAGAAGGAAAACCTCTTTAATAAATGATAATAATTTCTCCGGAATATCCCAAGAAGATTCATCCTGTTTATTTGAGTAAATGGGGGATGATCGAGCACATATATTTCTAGAATGGTAGAATGCAGGTCTAAATTAACACTGATTCCAAGGATCTGAATCATCATTGTCACCCTCCTGTTATAGCATGGGTTTATAAAGTAGTAATACAAGAAGTCTTTGTCTAGGTCTTGCTCACAGTAGATACATGAATGCATCTAGTAATCATTTTCATGATCCTTAAATTTATAATTTGACAGCAAATTCTTCATAATTGGTACAAGTTCCACATTGGAACCTTGCCTTTTGGATAAGAGCTATAATAGTGAGGAAAGCCAATGAGAAGCTTCTAAAACTGTTCTGCTATCCCTTCCCTGGCCATGATAAACCAGAAAAAAATTGGCATAACAGGGAATATCTAGAATTATTGTGACCTGTGGCATAGTGCCTAAAGCATTTGACTTCTAACCAGAAGGCTGGAGGTTCAAACCCACCAGCCACTCCTCAGAAGGAACATTGGACAATCTACTTCTGTAGTGATACTGCCTTGGAAACCCAAGGGGGGGGGTTTCCTATGAGTCTGATACTACTTGATGGCAGTAAACAACAACATAATCACCTCAAAGATGCAAGGATAATAGTGCCCATTTATCTCTATTTAATTTACCAGTGCAGATCTTACAAAAAACAGGTGGATTCTAGAAGATGACAATTGACTATTGCAAGCTCAATCAAATAACTCCGATTGCAACTGCTAATTATAGATATGGTATACATAGTGTTTTATTTTGTTAGGTGCTGTCAAGTTGTTTCTAACTGTAGCTACACTATGTACAATAGAAGAACAGAACAGGATACAGCCTGGTCCTGCACCATCTTCACAAATGTCATGCTAGAGCTCATCGTCACAGCCACTATGTCAATACGTCTCATATAGGTCCTTCCTCTTGTTCAATGACCCTCTACTTTACCAAGAGTGATATCCTTCTCCAGGGATTGGTCTTTTCTGACCACATGACCAAAGTCTGTGAGACAAAGTCTGGCCATTCTCACTTCTAAGGAACATTCTGGCTTTACTTCCTCCAAGACAGACTTGTTTGTTCTTCTGGTAGTCCATAGTATATTCAATATTCTTTGCCAACATCATGATTCAAATACATCAATTCTTCTGTGGTCTTCCTTATTCATCGCCCACCATTCACATGCATATGAGGCTATTGAAAACATTGTGGATTTGGTAGGGTGCACCTTAGTCTTCAAAGTGACATCTTTGCTCTTAACACTTCAAAGAAGTCCTTTGCAGCAGATTTGCCCAATGTAATATATTGTTTGATTTCTTGACTGTTGCTTCCATGGGCATTGATTGTGGATCCAAGTAAAATAAAAATCCTTGAAATCTATATACATATTAGAGTAGATTAATACAACTTCAGATACATGAGTTATGACTCTTGATCTGCCAAAAGAATAATTTTCTATCTATATAAGAAAGGAGGACCAGAAATGTCTGGCATTTATTTAGAATAGAAACAAGCAGCAATTTATTTGCTTGCCTCAAGGTCATATTAACTCTTCTCCCCTCCCTGTCATGACATGAAGAGACTTAGACTGTGTGGACATCCTGTTGAGGTTAATGGTGATTCACTATATTAATGACATTATATTAAATGGACTGCATGAGAAAGGACAAGTATGTTGAAACCATTGATAAGACACATCTACTACAGTGAATTGCCTGCAAAGATTCAACATCCAATTGCAGAGATCCTTAAGTATTTTGCCTATAAAAGTGATCCTTAAATCATTGTTGTTAGTTGCCTTTGAGTTGATTCCAACTCATGGTGAACCATGTATGCAAACTAGAACTGCTCCATAGAATTTTCAAGGCCATGACCTTTTGGAAACAGATGATCAGTCCTGTCTTCCTAAATGCCTGGGCTAGTCATCAATCATTTAAACATTTGTAGAACAGAGTAGAATGGTCCCTAGAATTTCTAAGGCTGTAAAGATTTAGTGAAGCAGACTGGCTCATCTTTGTCCTGGAGATCAGCTGGTGGGTTTGAACTGCTCACCTTCTGATTTGGTTGCCCATTACTTTAACCACAGAGCCACCAGAGCTCCTTTTTTTCTTTTATCATTAGAAGGTATTTTTAGGTATGAAATGCAAAATGTCTCGATTTTTTTTTTATAGTAATTAGACCATTAATCTTTTGGTAAGGGAAAGCTTCAAAGCAACTGCAAATTTACAATAAAATGTATTTGAAAGTTTTATAATTTAGGCAGCAGAATAAAATCAAATTTTACCTTGAGGGATAAATGGTCCTTGCAACTGGGAATCTGAGTCTTGCTTTGACCTTATAGCTTTTTACAAACAGATAAGTTAAGATCTGTTTATCCTATAAAAGACTTCAGCTAATATTTCCTCAAATATACATCTGTAAAGCTTGAGTTGATTTTTCCCTGTCACGGTAAACATGTTCATGGAGGATGACAACTGGAGGTATGGAGAAGGTCCTTAGGTTCCACCAAGTTGCCAAGGGAGGACTGCCAAAGTCCACGCCTTGCATGATACAGTTTTCAAATATTCAATAGCTGTTCTGTTCTAAGGAGCTCTGGTGGTGTAGTGCCTAAGACATTTGACTGCTCCAGAAGGCTGGCAGTTCTGACCTACCAGCTACTCCTCAGAAGGAAGAGTGGGCAATCTACTTTCGTAGAGTTACTGCCTCAGAATCAAAGGAGGGGTCACTATGAGTTGAAATCAACTCGTGAAAGTGGTATTGTGGAAACAAAAGAACCTTGGATCTAGATCCTAGTTCTATAACTTGGCTGCTGTTGTGTGAAAACTACATAAGCTCTCTAAAACTGCAACTGATTTATCTATAAAATGAAAGTAACGTCTCGACCTCAAAAATCCTTGTGAACATTTAAATAGATAATATAGGTAAGGATTTAAATACATAATATACTTGCTGTTGGAAACAGATAAAAGATTTGATTCATGGGTTTTCCCACTCCTTATTTAATTGCCAAAGTACAGATATTTCATTTGCTCAAGGCATGTTCTCATAAATTTTATAGTGTCTTAACTCTTTTGATTTGTCATTGAATGAAAAAAAAAAAAATATGTTGCTGTAGAGTGATTGCAATTCATGGCCACATCATTGTTTATTTGTTTTTTTGTTGTTTATTTGGCTTTACTTCATTTTTGTCTGTTATTAAAATGTAAAACACATGAAGGTAGGAAATATGCTCTCTTATTCATCATTGTATTCCAAGTATATCACTACACACTCACTTAGGACATAGTAAGTACACAATAAATATTAGTTGACTAGAATGGAGCAAAATAGCCACTTTCACCCTGCAGCATGCAGAATTTTAGCCTAAACTGGTATATAGATCCATTTCCATTCACCAACACATCCTGTGTGGTTTCAGATAGCTGGGCTTCAATAAATTTTGACTATTTTTAGATATCCTTTGGGCCTAAGAGTAATATCCAAGGTAGAGATTATTATCCATTTTCTTTTTATTATTTCATGAAAACATTTGAAATAATAGAGAATGAAGATGCCTATATGATGCTGAATTTCAAAAATCATCTCAAATCTGGGCAGAGATCTGCAGGTAGGATTATATACCCTGTCCCAAGACTCCAGTTTAAAATTTTATTATTTTCGTATTAAGATAATCACCATATAATAATTTTAAAGTGTTGAAATTGACCATATTGTGAGATTTAAGAAATACCCATAAATTATCTGAGATAGATTATTTAGATTAATGTATATTTTGTCAATAAAAGGTCAGTATTTTCACAGTCCCTGGGGGGGGTAGTGAAATCCTAATGGGATGATATATAATTCCCTCAATGTTATAGCATAAGAATGAGAAAATAACTTTAAAATAAAAGGCATCAACCAGTTTTCACAGAAAATTTTCCTTTTGTAAAGTATAAGTTTGAAAAAAGCCATTATTCAGATATAAAAGCAATATAAATATGTGTAGTAAAGATACTTGTTATACTTGAAAGGTAAAGATCTAATGGCGATGAAGGCATAGTAGTTGTCATGTAGTGTTTTACACTTTGAAAAGCATTTTAATACACATTGTACTTTTTAATTAAAAAAACAAAAACAAAAACATAGGGTTGATGGGTCAGCCAGTTTTGAGTGAGGAAAAGCAAAAAAAAAAAAACAACCCAAAAAACATTGTTCTTTGCTACTCCTAGGGCTCCTGTATCTTGGTCAAGTGCTTGCTGTTCTCAGGTGTGGTACAGATTCTTCAGGTAGGTTTAACAGCAACATGCAGCTTCTTGAATTCAATCTACCTGAAGCTTGTATACTCACTTATTTAACTGAAAGCAATCCTGCTGAAATAACCAAGACCTAAGCTGGAATGACATGGCCAGAAATGCAGATTTGGTCACTACTGAAGCTCTGCCACATGTACACTTGTTGAGTAGTCTCAGGAACTTATTATCTCAGTTTCCATCTAGTAAAATCAAAATTTTTTGTCACAGTTATCGTATTTTTGATGTCACCTGAAGGCTTGGGGACTTTTCTATGGTGTCAATATCAGGAAACAAACACTTTGTTTTTTACTTTAACATACCTTGCTGTTGTAAAAGCTAGAGCTATTGGAGTCAGGGTGACTGGATTACACTCTTAACCCCAAAGACTTAAGTGCATGGCCTTGGGAAAATAATTTAGACTTCTCAGTTCTTTTATGCATAATATGGGAAATCTATCATGTAATGCTTTTGTATGGATGTTAAATTATTAACTTTTTTTTCATAAATCACTTCTTAATAGACAAGTGAGAACAGGTTCATAAAATCTAAGTATAGATATGTAAAATATAAAATAGCAGTAATTATAATTGCAGAACCAATAAACCTGGAACATAAAACAGGGCTGAAATTAAACAAGCATGTTTGTGATTTTCATTACTTTTCTTCTAAGCTTCCTTGTTTCTTATGTGATAAGGGAGATCTGACCAGTTATTCCACTCACATTAGCTGTAAGAAAATTACACCCATTGGTTAAGTTCTCATAACAATTAAAAAAAAAAAAAAA